ACACACACACACACACACACACACACACACACACACTCAAACACACACACACACACACACACAAACTAACACACACACACACACGCGCGCGCGCGCGTGGAGCGCCTGCGTTACCTGTTTTGAAGCGCAGGTCTTCGTCTGACTCGGAGCCGAACTCGTTCAGCAGAGACACGAACAAGATGCCGAACGCGTTCTGGATGCCGAACACCGAGCCGTTGCACCACATCGAGGCCAGCATCACCACCCACCCCCAGCCGCCCTCCGGGGGCTCGAACTCCCGCGGCGCCTTCTCCTCGCGCGCGGAGGCTTTACAGTCGCCGTTCTCCTGCTTCACCTCCGCGGCGTCTGGAGTGGGTTCGGGCTGAGTCTCGGTCATGCTGGTCCGGTCTGCGGTGAGAGAGTGCGTGCGTCAGTGCGCTGAGGATCTTACACTACTGACCGACTGCGGCTGCTGCAATAACCATAAATACAGAGCGGGGGCGGGGCTACAGACCAGATCAGATGGAGACGTTCTCAGCTGGACGCACGCACTCATGCTGTCCGTCACACTGCTGGATAAACACAGAGGCCGAGCGCGCGGTCATCGACATCATCAGCGCCTGCATCCTTCAGCACGCGCCACTGTCCTCTGCTGTCCTCGCGCCGCACACGCACACTGGGCACTGCTGCCTGACAGATCTCTCTGGGTTCGGCTGCTGATCTGCTGCTAAATGCTGCACCTCATCCATCAGACAGATAGCGTCTTTCTGTAGAAAACATGTTTCTATCACTTCACTTGTCTGTTTCCCACACAGACTGTCAGTTTGTTTGTTTACTACAGGAATAGTTCACCCATAAATGAAACACTCGGGCCATCTGAGTAGAGGTCTGCAAGCCCGTCGGGACACGCCGAGTCCATTCGGGCCGGGGTCGGGACATTTCTTTTTTTTACAGATCGGGCTCGGGTCAGACTCGGGCTCATTTAGCTTCTCTCCTTTTATTGTGCCATATACGCGCAGAGCACACATAGGCTACTGTATGAACTATTGTTATATTGATTATATTATAAATATTATACATGGCTTATGCAACGGAACGCATATACGCACGCATTAGCACACAGGTGACAGCTGACCATGCACAGCATCAGGTAGAAGTGGGGAGTTACTAAAAGTTCCCAGTGCTTCGGGAAAGCTGTGTTTTGTAAGAGTCTTGATTTGATTACCCCGGCAAACAGCGAGTCAACGGGTCAGTGCAGTGCAGAATCTGCACACATATCCTTGCACAATACAGCTAAAGCTAAAGCGTGCCGCAAAGCCCCAGCAAAAGTAATTACCATGAACGTGTCGGGGGGAATAGTAAGGAGATAATTGAATTATTTATTAATAAATTAGTGTTTTCTGAGTCCGTGTCGCAAAGATGAAGATGATGATCCTGACTCGCCTTTAGAGAGAAGTGCATCTTTACGGATTTGATCAAATCCGTAAAAAAGAGTTTTTGTTTTTGATTTGAATTATTTAGTTTTAAAGACGTCATTTAAAGCTTTCTACAGATATATTTAGTAAGTCTGTGAGGCAAGTATTCGCCGAGTTTCGGCCGAAATTGCAGAAAGCGCATCCTGTATGTATCCTTTATTTTATAAGAGCACAACGCTGTGTTGATATTGTGAGTGCACAGATAAAAGTAGACCCTTTACAGTTCCGAGTGATGTATTACTCTTACCTTTATGAGCAATAATGACGGCATATTTTAGGTTGTTTCCACTGCAGGTGATCCCGCCGGCGCCTCAGCTTTAGCTCTCACACAAACTGTTAGATATGCGTCTAACAGCACATTTATCTATAGGTTAAACATTTAAACTAACACTGTGATATGCTTGAACTGTTTATTTTATTGTCTCCGCATTTCTTAATTACACAGACAAAACATGTAATTTCAGATTACACTTTAAACATTTCACTGTATTGTATGGTCAATGTACCATTTATCATGTTGCTGTGTAAACATGTTACTTCAGTTCTTGGTGTATCACCGTTATTCCCATTAATGGCAAACGTTTGGCACCCTGTGCTGCCATGCATTGCAACTTTTTTTTTACGTGTTTTTTTTTTACAGTGTAGGCTAAGATCAACTCACTGTCTGCAGATTGGTCGTTACTTTAAAAAAACAAAAACTTACATTTAAGAACAAAAAAATGCGTTTTGCAATGCATCCTTCATTTTCTAAATTAACTTAATAAAAAAACGAAACGAAATATAATCACTTTGACATTACATACAAAACTGAACTATTTTAATAGCTGAAACAGTAGTATAAGCTGTTTTGGGAGAAGGGGGAAAGGGCTCGGGCCGGTGATTCTGATGAGCTGTCGGACCCGGGCCGGGCTAGGATCTGAGCGTCTCGGGCCAGGGCAGGGATAGGGACTATATTTGAGGCCCATGCAGGGCTCTACATCCGAGATGAGTTTGCTCTGTCATCAGGTTTGTAGAAATGTAGCACCGCATCAGTGTCTCAGCAATGGATGCTCTGCAGTGAATGGGTGCCGTCAGAATGAGAGTCCAAACAGCTGATAAAAACATCACAATAATCCACAAGTAATCCACAGCACTCCAGTCCATCAGTTAACATCTGGAGAAGACAAAAGCTGAGACAAATCCAGCATTAAGACGTTTTTAACTCAAATACATTGAGTCCATAATCCATAACAATGCTTCCTCCAGTGAAAAAGTGTTCTGGTGTGAATCAGGAGACAAATCTGCGTCTCAATCAGCTCCCTACTCCAGCAGTCAGGGCACTGATCAGGGAGCATGCACTCTGAAAAATCCCACAATGCACCGCAAAAACTAGGGCGCATCGGTGCTCGCTTACCATCACATTTCCGCGAAACATAAAATGCACAAGCCAACTCCAATATAATGGCACAAGATAGAAGACTTATTTTTTCTATATTTCAGCATAAACACACATTGCTAGACATGTAGTGAACACATCTGGTTAACACTTACAATTAATATTCAGTGGAAATGTTGTGAAGACATGTAACAGAACAATATAGAGCATGAAAAATAATCTAAGAAAGACCAGCAGTGACGTGACTGGAAATCAAGTAATCCTGTGATTCGTGTGCACCATATACTGATCCACGAGCTCAGCAGCGGACTGAGACGCACTTACAGCTCTGGCTCAGTGTTGATTTCACTGAAGAGGGCTGCAGTAATGTTTCACAGCAGCTTCACAGATTTGGGAACTACTAACTACAGGAGCAAACAGAGTTTTACTCAGACCCAGTCGGTACGAGAGAACTTCTGTACTTCAGTGAATAACATTCTCATTTAAAAACTGTATTTTCAGTTGACTCATGTTGACTTTATGTTAGATTTTGTTTTAATTTCTGAAACTATTTAATTTCACATCCATTTATTTACCTGTGTTACAGTAGTTTATATGAACACACCATCAAATGAATAACATGTTCATTTGTTCTTTTGAACAGTACAAAATAAAAAACAAATGAAGGTAACATTCACTGTCCACTGAGCTCACTGCTACACTCCTGTGTGTGTGTGTGTGTGTGTGTGTGTGTGTGTGTGTGTGTGTGTGTGTG